ATAGATAGATAGGTAGATAGATAGATAAGGCGTGAGAGATAGATATCAACTGAGACTTAGATATATAATTATATGTGAGCAGAAACAGATAGATAGATAGATAGATAGAATGATGAATAGATAGATAGATAGATGATAGATAGATAATAAGCGTGAGAGATAGATGTCAACTGAGACTTAGGTATAAAATTATATGTGACCAGAAACAGATAGATAGATAGGGAGATAGATAGATAAGGCGTGAGAGATAGATATCAACTGAGACTTAGATATATAATTCTGTGACCAGGAACAGATAGATAGATAGGTAGATAGATAGATAAGGCCTGAGAGATAGATATCAACTGAGACTTAGATATATAATTATATGTGACCAGAAACAGATAGATAGATAGATAGATAGATAGATAGATAGATAGATAGATAAGGCGTGAGATATATATCAACTGAGACCTAGATATGTAATTATGTGACCAGAAACAGATAGATAGATAGATAGATAGATAGATAAGGCGTGAGAGATAGATATCAACTGAGACCTAGATATGTAATTATGTGTTGAAACAGATAGATAGATAGATAGATAGATAGATGGATAGATAGATAGATAGATGGATGGATAAGGCGTGAGTGATGGATATCAACTGAGACTTAGATATATAATTATATGTGACCAGAAATAGATATAGATAGATAAGTGCCGGAGATAGATATCAACTGAGATTTAGATATATAATTCTCTGACCAGAAACAGATAGATAGATGGTAGATAGATAGATAAAGGCGTGAGAGATAGATATCCACTGAGACTTAGATATGTAATTCTGTGACCAGAAACAGATAGATAGATAGATAGATAGATGAATGATAGATAGATAGATGAATAGATGAATGAATAGATGAATAGATAAAGGCGTGAGGGGATAGATATCAACTGAGACTTAGATATATAATTATATGTGACCAGAAACAGACAGATAGATAGATAGATAATGGATAGATGATATGAGAGATAGATAGATAGAACAGATGATAAACGGATATAGATATAGGCAGTAGGAGATAGATATCAACTGAGACTTAGATATAATTATATGTGTTCATAGATAATAGATGAATAGATAAGGTGAATGATAGATATCAACTGGACTGAGATATATATATCACCACTAGATAGATTAGATATAATTATAGATAGATAGATAGAAACGATGGAGATAGATAGATAGATAGATAGATAAGACGTGATGATAGATATCAATGAGACTTAGATATATAATTATGATACCAAAAGATTTAGATAGATGAATAGAATGGGTAGATAGATAGATAAAGGCGTGAGAGATAGATATCAACTGAGACTTAGATATATAATTTATGTGACCAGAAACAGATAGAACAAATAGATAGATAGATAAAGGCGTGTGAGAACAGATAGATATCAACTGAGACTTAGATATATAATTATAATTATGACCAGAAACAGATAGATAGATAGATAGATAGATAGATAGATAGATAGATAAGATAGATATCAACTGAGACCTAGATAGATATCAACTGACCAGTAACAGATAGATAGATAGATAGATAGATAGATAGATAGATAGGTAGATAGATAGAATAAGGCCTGAGAGATAGATATCAAATTAGATATAATATATGACCAGAAACGGATAGTTAGATAGGTAGATAGATAGATAAAGGCGTGAGATAGATCAACTGAGATTAGATATATAGATAGATAAGAAACAGATAGATAGATGATGATAAGGCGTGAGAGATAGATGTCAACTGAGACTTAGATATATAAATTCTGTGACCAGAAACAGATAGATAGATAGATGGAGGGAGATAGATAGAAAGATAAAGCGTGAGGATAGATATCAACTGTGACTTAGATATACGGATAGTTAGATTGATAGATGGATGGATAGATAGATAGATAGATGCCTGAGATAGATAGATAGATAGATGAGACTTGAGATATATCAACTGAACTTAGATATAATTCTGACCAGAAACAGATAATGAATGGGTAGATAGATAGATAAGGCCTGAGAGATAGATATCAACTGAGACTTAGATATGATGTGACCAGAAACAGATAGATAGATAGATAGATGGATAGATGAAAGATAAAAGGCGTGAGGGATAGATATCAACTGTGACTTAGATATATAATTATATGTGACCAGAAACAGACAGATAGATAGATAGATGATGATAGATGGATGGATAATGAACGTAGAGATAGATATCAACTGAGACTTAGATATATAATTATATGTGACCAGAAATAGATAGATAGATAGATAGATAGATAGATAGATAGATAGATAGATAGATAGATAGATAAGGCGTGAGAGATAGATGTCAACTGAGACTTAGATATATAATTCTGTGACCAGGAACAGATAGATAGATAGGTAGATAGATAGATAAGGCCTGAGAGATAGATATCAACTGAGACTTAGATATATAATTATATGTGACCAGAAACAGATAGATAGATAGATAGATAGATAAGATAGATAGATAGATAGATGAATGGATGAATAGATAATAAGGCTGCCCGATGAATATCAACTGGATTCCTAGATGAATTATGCAGGAACAGATAGATATAGATAGATGAATAGATAGATGATATGAATAAATGAGAGATAGATATCAACTGAGACTTAGATATATAATTATATGTTATCCAGAAACGGATAGGATAGATAGATAGATAATGAGAGATAGATATCAACTGAGACTTAGATATATAATTCTGTGATCAGAAACAGATAGATGAATGATTGAATAGATAGATAAGGCGTGAGATAGATATCAACTGAGACTTAGATATGTAATTCTGTGACCAGAACACAGATAGATGAATAGATAGATAGATGAATGGATAGATAGATAGATAAGGCGTGAGAGATAGATATCAACTGAGACCTAGATGTGTAATTATGTGACCAGAAACAGATAATAGATAGATAGATAGATAGATGGATGAATGGATAGATAGATATAGATAAGGCGTGAGAGATAGATATCAACTGAGACTTAGATATGTAATTATATGTGTTCAGAAACTTAGATAGATAGGTAGATAGATAGATAAGGCGTGTGAGATATCAACTGAAATTTGATATAATTATATGTGACCAGAAACAGATAGATAGATAGATAATAAGTGAGAGATAGATATCAACTGAGGATTTAGATATATAATTCTGTGTCCAGAAACAGATAGATGAATGGGTAGATAGATAGATGAGGCGTGAGATAGATATCAACTGAGACTTAGATATATAATTCTGTGACCAGAAATAGATAGATAGATAGATATGATAGATATGATGATAGATAGATAATAGATAGATAAGGCGTGAGAGATAGATATCATGAGACCTAGAATGGATTATGTGACCAGTAACAGATAGATAGATAGATAGATAGATAGATATATAATTATATGGTGACCAGATAGATAAGACCTGATGGATATCATGAGACTTAGATATATAATTATATGATAGAAACGGATAGTTAGATGGGTGATAGATAATAAAGGCGTGAGAGATAGATATCAACTGAGACTTAGATATATAATTATATGTGACCAGAAACAGATAGATAGATAGATAGATAGATAATAGGCGTGAGAGATAGATATCAACTGAGACTTAGATATATATTATTCTGTGACCAGAAACAGATAGATAGATGAATGGTAGATAGATAGATAGATAAAGGAAGGATAGATATCAACTGTGACTTAGATATATAACTATATGTGACCAGAAACAGATTGATAGATAGATGAATAGATAGATAGATAGATAGATAGATAGATAGATAGATAGATAAGGCGTGAGAGATAGATATCAACTGAGGACTTAGATATATAATTATATGTGACCAGAAATAGATAGATAGATGAATAGATAGATAGATAGATAGATGAATAGATAGATAGATAGATAGATAAGGCGTGAGAGATAGATGTCAACTGAGACTTGGGTATAAAATTATATGTGACCAGAAACAGATAGATGAATGGGAGATAGATAGATAAGGCGTGAGAGATGAATATTAACTGGGACTTGATATATAATTCTGATAGATGTCATACTGAGATAGATAGATAAGGCCTGAGAGATAGATGAGACTTAGATATATAATTATATGTGACCAGAAACAGATAGATAGATAGATAGATGGATATAGATGATAGATGAATGAGGCGTGAGAGATATATATCAACTGGGACCTAGATATGTATTATGATAGAAACAGATAGATATGAATAATAGATAAGGCGTGAGAGATAGATATCAACTGAGACCTAGATATGTAATTATGTGACCAGAAACAGATAGATGAATAGATAGATGAATAGATAGATAGATAGATAGATAGATAGATAAGGCGTGAGTGATAGATATCAACTGAGACTTAGATATATAATTATATGTGACCAGAAATAGATAGATAGATAGATAAGGCGTGCGAGATAGATATCAACTGAGATTTAGATATATATAGATGAATGGGTAGATAGATGAGATGAGGCGTGGATAGATATCCACTGAGACTTAGATATGGGTTCTGTGACCAGAAACAGATAGATAGATAGATAGATAGATAGATAGATAGATAGATAGATAGATGAATGAATGACTCTAGATAGATAATGAGCGTGAGGATGAATATCAACTGAGACTTAGATATATAATTATATGTGACCAGAAACAGACAGATAGATAGATAGATGAATAGATAACTGGATGAATATTGTAGATAGATAGATTAGATAGATGGATAAGGCGTGAGATGGATATCAACTGAGACTTTATACAATTATATGTGTCCAGAAACGGATTAGATGGGTGGATGAATGGATGGGCGTGAGAGATTCAATGAGGGCTTAGATATAATTATATGGGACCAAAAACAGATAGATGAATGAAGATAGATAAGGCGTGAATGATAGATATCATATCAGCTATATAATTATATGACTTAACAGATATAGATAATTCTGATAGATAGATAGATAGATGAATAGATAGATAGACGTGAGATAGATATCAACTGAGACTTAGATATATAATTATGTGACCAGAAACAGATAGATGATGAATGGGTAGATAGATAGATAAGGCGTGAGATAGATGTCAACTGAGACTTAGGTGTAAAATTATATGTTAGATAGATAGATATGGGTAGATAGATAGATGAGGCGTGAAGAGATGATATCAATGAGACTTTGATATATATATTCTGACCGGAACAGATAGATAGATGGGTATAGATAGATAAGGCCTGAGAGATAGATATCAACTGAGACTTAGATATATAATTATATGTGACCAGAAACAGATAGATAGATAGATAGATAGATAGATAGATAGATAGATAAGGCGTGAGAGATAGATATCAACTGAGACCTAGATATGTAATTATGTGACCAGTAACAGATAGATAGATAGATAGATAGATAGATAGATAGATAGATAGGTAGATAGATAGATAAGGCCTGAGAGATAGATATCAACTGAGACTTAGATATATAATTATATGTGACCAGAAACGGATAGTTAGATAGGTAGATAGATAGATAAGGCGTGAGAGATAGATATCAACTGAGACTTAGATATATAATTATATGTGACCAGAAACAGATAGATAGATAGATAGATAGATAAGGCGTGAGAGATAGATATCAACTGAGACTTAGATATATAATTCTGTGACCAGAAACAGATAGATAGATAGATAGGTAGATAGATAGAAAGATAAAGGCGTGAGGGATAGATATCAACTGTGACTTAGATATATAACTATATGTGACCAGAAACAGATTGATAGATAGATAGATAGATAGATAGATAGATAGATAGATAGATAGATAGATAGATAGATAGATAGATAGATAAGGCGTGAGAGATAGATATCAACTGAGACTTAGATATATAATTCTGTGACCAGAAACAGATAGATAGATAGGTAGATAGATAGATAAGGCCTGAGAGATAGATATCAACTGAGACTTAGATATGTAATTCTGTGACCAGAAACAGATAGATAGATAGATAGATAGATAGATAGAAAGATAAAGGCGTGAGGGATAGATATCAACTGTGACTTAGATATATAATTATATGTGACCAGAAACAGACAGATAGATAGATAGATAGATAGATAGATAGATAGATAGATAGATAGATAGATAGATAAGACGTGAGAGATAGATATCAACTGAGACTTAGATATATAATTATATGTGACCAGAAATAGATAGATAGATAGATAGATAGATAGATAGATAGATAGATAGATAGATAAGGCGTGAGAGATAGATGTCAACTGAGACTTAGATATATAATTCTGTGACCAGGAACAGATAGATAGATGGGTAGATAGATAGATAGATAGATATCAACTGGATAGATATATAATTATCACCAGAAACAGATAGATAGATTAGATATAGATAATAGATAGATAGATAGATAAAGGCGTGAGAAATATCAACTGATTCTAGATATGTAATTATGATGGAACAGATAGATAGATAGATAGATAGATGATAGATAGATGAGATAGATACATAGATAGATAGATAAGGCGTGAGAGATAGATATCAACTGAGACTTAGATATATAATTATATGTGTCCAGAAACGGATAGATAGATAGATAGATAAGGCGTGAGAGATAGATATCAACTGAGACTTAGATATATAATTCTGTGATCAGAAACAGATAGATAGATAGGTAGATAGATAGATAAGGCGTGAGAGATAGATATCAACTGAGACTTAGATATGTAATTCTGTGACCAGACACAGATAGATAGATAGATAGATAGATAGATAGATAGATAGATAGATAAGGCGTGAGAGATAGATATCAACTGAGACCTAGATATGTAATTATGTGACCAGAAACAGATAGATAGATAGATAGATAGATAGATAGATAGATAGATAGATAGATAGATAGATAAGGCGTGAGAGATAGATATCAACTGAGACTTAGATATGTAATTATATGTGTTCAGAAACGGATAGATAGATAGGTAGATAGATAGATAAGGCGTGAGAGATAGATATCAACTGAGGCTTAGGTATATAATTATATGTGACCAGAAACAGATAGATAGATAGATAGATAAGTCGTGAGAGATAGATATCAACTGAGACTTAGATATATAATTCTGTGACCAGAAACAGATAGATAGATAGGTAGATAGATAGATAAGGCGTGAGAGATAGATATCAACTGAGACTTAGATATGTAATTCTGTGACCAGAAACAGATAGATAGATAGATAGATAGATAGATAGATAGATAGATAGATAGATAGATAGATAGATAGATAGATAAGGCGTGAGAGATAGATATCAACTGAGACTTAGATATATAATTATATGTGACCAGAAACAGACAGATAGATAGATAGATAGATAGATAAGGCGTGAGAGATAGATATCATCTGAGACTTAGATATATAATTATATGTGTCCAGAAACGGATAGATAGATAGGTAGATAGATAGATAAGGCGTGAGAGATAGATATCAACTGAGGCTTAGGTATATAATTATATGTGACCAGAAACAGATAGATAGATAGATAGATAGATAGATAGATAGATAGATAATGGTAACGATTGATGGCATATAAAATTGACTATGGAGAAATTGAAATAGAAAACAAGATGAAGAATTAGAAAGGATGTGTGGCTAAAAAAGACGGAATGGAAACTATAAAACGAACGCAAATGCAAGAAAAATTCGAAATAAAAAAGATAAATTTTAAAAAATACCGAAAGAAATCGAGAAAGATGGCGGTTGAATAAAGTAACATAAAAACGACAGACAAAAAGACATAGAATGTTCGACAGACATCACAGAAAGACGGGAAAAAAAGAAAATCCAAACAGGTAAGAAATATGGTCGAAAGACAAAATAGTAAAAGGTGTGAAAAAAAGAAAAGTGAAAGCCATATCTACCTGTTGAAAACACGAACATATTACACTGGTTTTTCTCTGATATGGCAGACCAGCATGTTTTCTGAATGTCTTACGTACCTCTAATATTTCGTGGTAATATTAATTTATACCGGAAACGATATATTTAATGAATATAATAAAAGTTGACTGTTATTTTTTTTTTATCTTCCATTTATTTTTCAAAAAATAATCCAATATCAAAAAGTAATAAAAAAAATAAGTGATTTATTAACACAAAAACAAAAATGATATAACCATTAATTTTTTCTCGTATAAAAGGCGAGGCTGCTTCTTCTTTGGCAGTTTATCCAGTCGTAGTTCAATTGAGGACAGTGCAACGCACAATGGAGAATGAATATCCATATTATTCATGTGCTTTGCTTTAATAGTTAATTAAATAATTTTATTTCAGATAGCACTAAATATTTTAAGTTTCTGCATCGATCGTACCAAAACCTTCATCTGAAAACAAAACGGAGCACGTTTGGTACGAAAGTAAAAATTCTGACAGACCTGGCTTTGGCAGTGTACCGTTTGGCTGGCATCTACCAATTCTTCAAATGATTGCTGAGCATGACCTGAAAAGTAGCTGATGGTTTGCGTACTGGCGCCGGTCCGCGGACCACCATTTTGAGTAGCACTAGACTACACCAAGAAAATAATAAATAAAAATTTTACATTCTCCAGGCCCTCTCGATCGACAGGATCAAAGCAAGACAATTTGGACGTCATGCTAAGAAAGAAATCAGCAATCACAATACAATACATATTTGTTGTGACAATTCATTTGTCATTTCAATGTTGAAATCAATTTATTCAATCAAGTATTGAATCAAATACATATTAAAGAGGTCAGATGAAGCTGTTTTTCCCAAAGACCCTCCCCTGATTTTATCCTTTTGATCTAAATTAAATTTAAGTTGGAACAAACGAATGACTACTATTCAAAATATAGAAGGAGAAATCCAGAAGATGAAGGTCACATTGGCAAGGTCATTGAGTAATATTAAAATACATCATTTTTTTCCGCAAATGTTTTAAAATCAATCCTCATTTCATTACAAAAAATGTCTGACACTAAGGACACGGCTAATATTACCATTACCATTTATAAACAACACGAAGTCGCTTAAAGGACTAATATTTAGAAAATACTTTACTCCAGTCAAAACTGGAATATCTAATCATATACAACAAAAACAGCCAGACGTATCATCAACGACAACAAGTCTTCAGCGAAATCAAAACTAGATATCTACAACATGATTTCTGGATTGAAATTCTTGGATATCTGTGTTAGATTTGCCCTTATTCACCTGTCGAGATGGCTGGCACTATATCACATCAATAAAATAATACAAAGAGAAGAAGAAGAAGAAGAAGAAGAAGAAGAAGAAGAAGAAGAAGAAGAAGGGGAAGAAGAACAAGAACAAGAAGGGGAAGAAGAAGAAGGAGAAAATGAAGAAAAAGAAGAACAACAACAAGAGTAAGAAGAAGAAAAAGAAGAAGAAGAAGAAGAAGAAGAAGAAGAAGAAGAAAAAGAAGAAGAAGAAGGCGATGACAGAAACAAAGGGATTAATTTTAGCACTTCAAAATCAAAACGTACTAATGAGGACCTGCCAGGCATAAAAGGCACATATTTTGATGAAAGAACCAGAAATGAACGAACGCTATTTGAATTTAACTAACCAGTAACAGAAGTGTTCACCAAAGTCACACAAAGCTTCCAACATTTTTAATAAATTGAACAGATCTATATTGTAACTTTTTTTTTTTTTTAAATGTTGAAGAAAATAATGACTACCTAATAATTGCTTTCGCTGAATGAGAATGAGACATCATAGTGTAGGGTGTTGGCCTCTCTACCCGTAGTTGGCAATCAGTTTATTGAACAGACAAATCTAAATTCAAAAGCGTACACAGCTCTGGTATCGTACATACGATGCAACTCGTTGTGTTGATAATGACGTTATAATCTTGAC